AAATATTAAAATATTTAATAATAACCATATAATAAATTTAATAACATTAAAATTTACATTATATCTTATACATTAAATAATTATAATTAAATATTATCCTTCCTTTTAATTTTTTCCTTTTTATATAAAAATAAATATTAATTATTTTCTTAATTATCTTTTAATAACTTGCACCTTTCACAATACAAAATCAATGACCCTCTTCCTTCAAAAATTAAAATAAAATACCAAAAAAAAGCTCGCTCCTGCCAGCCCAATATCATCTACCTTTTTTTTTTATTATTAAAAGAGTAAGATGCATTTGAGTAGACCATCTGAAAAAACCACCACCCTCCTTGTTTTTTCCATTAAAGAGAACAAAAAATGAAATTAATACAAGCCACACCAGCAAAAACAAAGCGTGCCTGTCTAATCTCCCCCAATTCGCTGTACAGAGTTCGTTGATTTCTTTGTTTGTTAGTTTAGCCAATGACGCCCACAATGCAAAATCCGTTGCCCAAAACGACAAAAGAAAGGTAGTAAAACGACCAAAATGCGAATTAGCCAAGTGAGTCCTGCTGATTACATAGCTCTTTTCTAAGCCGTTGAGAGAAAAGCCTGCAGGCGTCCATGCTCAGATCAACGGCAGCTGCTAGTGCCACGAAAGCGGCTGCATCTTCCAAGCAGTTCACGTGCTGCACACTCACCTCCACGCAAGGTTTGCTGCACCTGCCTTCCCCTTCCACGCGAGCCGACATCACGAACCCCCTGTACACGCAGAAGGGCCAGAGACCGTAACCGAAATCACCGCTGCCCCTCGGGCTGCACACCGGAGACGCAGAGTTCGCCGGCGTCGAGCGGCCGTTTGATCCAGATCCAAGATCAATCACGAATTTTCCTCCCTTGCTCGAGCTTAATGTGGATTCGGCTAACACTATTGTGGGGGCGCTCATGTCCGGGCTAAGTTCGAAACGATAGCCGAGACCGTCGGAAGAACCACGCTCCCGCCAGGCCTCCAGCCGGCCCCACGGCTTCCAGGTGCCATCACCTGGCCGGAGAATGAGCCAGGATCCAGGATTGGAACGGCTCACTCTGTCAGTGCCGGGTGAAGCTACGAAGGGCGTGACCATTGAAGCGGCGGCTACTGGCGAGCCGGATAAATCGTGAACCGTTATTGACCATCCTTTTCGCTCCTTCACCGCTCGCTCTCTTTCGCTGCCAAAAGAAGTTAACCATCCTCGAGAGCTGCTTGACTCCGACGGCAACGATCTATTCTTGTTAATCAATTAATAAAAAAGGTAAATTAAAAATTAATTAATCACATAGTCAATTTTTCCGCTTGAATATAGCATTTCTTTGGAAAGAGTAAAGGCAAACCATAGTATTAAAGTGCAAAAAATGTGATTCCTAGTAGCTTTACCGTACTCTATGGCAACCTTTACAGTTTAATCTCCCGAAAAAGTTCAAATTTAGTTTACTAATCTCACCCAAAAACTTGAATTCAGGGTACATTCTTCTTTTTCTTTTCTTTTTTTTTTTTTCTAAGATGAAAAATTATATGAACGGATAAAGGGGTAAAGGATAATAATAATCAGGCAAGAATAATATCCAATCTATGATCTATCTAATCTAAAAATGGTTAAAAAATTTACTAAATATAGACTAACCTGGATCTCTGATTTCGGTCACCGGTGCTTCTGAAACTGAACTTGCAAGTGAAAACTGGCTGCCGAATGTTGCCTTGGATTTGAAAAACTTGAGGACTGCACTCCGGCTCGCCGTCGAACTGAAATACGAATCGCGGATCAGGTTCCGCTTTAACATTCAAGTGAAACTGCGCGGAGGAATCTTTCAAAGCCTCTTTCCCGACGGAAATCCATCCATTGTGGAAAACAAAAGGCCTGGACTCCACTCCACTCAGATCCAAAGGCACCAATACCTTCCCTAACAGACGCCCGGAGTTAACACCGCACGCTGCGCCTGTCCGGCCGGTGTAGATGGCTATCTTGAGAGAAAGCTTGCCTCCGAAAATAGATTTAGCAGTGAGACTGCCGAGATCGGTTTTGCTGAGATGAAAAGTAGCGGCTATGGTTTGTACCTGGTTCTCAGGAAACTGATTCTCCGGTGGAATGTAGGGAACAACAGCGGTTTGAAGAGGAAAACTCTTAAGCTTAATTTTACAGAAACAAGGAGAAGACGACGGGTGCACGACACTACGCGCTGGCTTCGTCGCCACCGGAATCTTCAGGGCCAGATTCCCCACTGTCAAACGCACAAAAGGGCAAGGGTCCATCACTACACTACTCCCTTACCGCTACCTTCTCCTCCTCCTCCTCCTCCTAGAGATTTACTCAGTACGAGAAATGTGAATCGGTTTTTGCAGGAAAACAGAGTGGAGTTACTTCGGGAAGTGCACAGGCAGAATCAGAAAGAAGTAGAGAGAAGGCACACATTACACACTCTAATTCCGCGAAAACAATGTCTTCATATTCTCTTCCTCCGATTTTATGTTACCCGGAAAAATAAAAAATCCACAAACACTCTGTGCTTTCGTTTACCCCTCATTTATTTTCACTGTTTTGGAAATGGGGAATATAAGGAGAGAGAAAGGGAGAGAGAGAATAAGTTGCGAAAAACTGGAGTGGAGTACAGCTGGTGACAGGCTGGGAGGTGGGGGGACAGAGAGGGGGTGGTGTGTTGGGGTTTATTGACAGCGGGGAGGGTGGTACTGGTAGGAGGGAAGGCTGACGGTACGTATATGAGAGTGCCGCGCCCCCACTCACGCCCCAACCTGACCAACTAGATCGTAGGCTCCACCTGTTCTTTGTATATTGACCAACTTATCCTTGTCGTATTGTACTCCGTATATTCAAGCTGCAATATACGGTATGTAAGATTTTAGAGTTTCCCAATCAAAGCAGAAATTTTGTGCGAAAATTAATCACGAAAATATGATATTATTTTTTTCTGCCTAACCCATGATATTTAGAATTTACATCGTATTTTAATTAATTTAAAATCGATCTTAATCATACCTTATCATAAAAAAATTCTTTTAATATTATTTCTCTATTCAAAGGATTTCAATTTAAAATTTGATTTAAAAAAAAAGTTTTCGTTGGTAAAAATATAAAATTATGTTGTAGTGAAAATAATTACAATAATACAATATTTACACTATTATGTAA